AAAACAAAGTAAATAAAAAATCTTATTTAAAATATTCGAAATTACTAAGGAGGTGTATCACTAGCTTTCAGAGTCTTAGCAATCTTAAGTACATTGCTAATTCTAAAAATAAAGGCAAAGCTGCATGGGAAATAGTTAAACGTTATGTGGGTGATAATGATTGTAGTGGTGAATGTATCGAGAACATTATCGATGGTGATAATCTGGCATCCACTGGGTCGGACATAGCCAATTCATTTAATGATTTTTTTATAAATATAGTGCATAAGAATACACATACTAGCAAGGAACCCTATATTTATAATGTTGAATCAAATGCAAATAGTATTTTTTTAAGTCCCACGAATCCAAATGAAGTTTTTAATACAATTAATTCTTTGAAAAATTCTAAGTCCGCAGGATATGACGACATTAATTCAATCTTGTTGAAAACTGTAGCTAGGTCTATAGCTGAACCGTTGGCACATATAATTAATCTTTCACTAGAACAAGGATGTTTTCCAGAGAAATTAAAATTGGCAATAATAAAACCTCTACACAAAAAAGGATCAAAACTCGATAGAAACAATTACAGACCTATTGCACTTACCCCTGTTATATCCAAGGTATTTGAACGGATTATGTACAAAAGAGTCTTGAATTTCTTGGATAAATATGACATCTTAGCAAAGGAACAGTTTGGTTTCAGAAGATACAGATCTACACAGTTGGCCACCTACACATTAGTAAACAGCATTATTAACAATATTAACAATGGAGTTCCCACATCCGCCTTACTACTAGACTTGAGTAAAGCATTTGACTTTGTAGATCATTCCTTACTCCTTTCAAAATTAGCAAATTGTGGAATTAGAGGCTCATCACTGTCGTGGTTTCGATCATATTTGCAAAATAGAAAACAGCTTACTAGAATAACTAAATTTGACAAAAAAAGTAACAGCGTAATAAAATTCGATTCTCAAGCAAGAGTCAACTATTTTGGTGTACCTCAAGGTAGTATTTTGGGGCCTTTGTTATTCCTTATCTTTGTCAATGATCTCCCACGTGCGCTTATACACGAATGTGTCTTATTTGCGGACGACACAACAATTATTTTGGATTGCAAAAATAGGGCTACATATGAAGCTGAAATAAATAAAACCTTAAATGATGTTATTAGGTGGCTTAGTATTAACAAATTAAAAATAAATATAGAAAAAACTAAAATTATTAATTTTAAAACATTTAAAAGTAAAACTATCGAACTAAATTTAAGTTATAATAATACGCTTATTCAGCAGATTCATAATGCCAAATTTTTGGGTGTAACTCTTGACTCTCATTTCACGTGGAAGGAACATATTAACAACTTATGCAAGAAAATTAACAAGTTTGTCTTTGCACTTCGGAAAATAAAAGACGTAACATCAATTCAAAGTTCCATTATGGTGTATCATGCATATATTTGTTCCATAATACGTTATGGTATCGTCATATGGGGAAACTCCTCTGAAATCATGAGGGTCTTTGTGGCCCAAAAAAAGTGCGTTCGTGCAATGTTTGGCATGGGATGGTCGGATTCTTGCAAACCCGTATTTAAATCTAAAGGATTGTTGACTGTTCCTAGCATTTATATTTACGAAGTGGCTAAGTTTGTGAAATATCATAGTTATTTGTTCGTTGCTAACGATAATGCTAACAGACGCTTGATCACTCAGCTGCCCCTGAAAATGCCCATCCCTAAACTAGAGCTTTATAGGAAAAGTTGTGCATATATGGCGCCGCTCATATTTAACTGTCTACCCCGAGGAATTAGCGAGCTGCCATATAAACCGTTTTGTCGTGCCTTACAAAAGTGGTTGGTTCAGGAGAGTTTTTATTCTACCCGAGACTTCCTAAGTAACAGCAGCTGTAGGTATGCAGCTTTTTAAATCATTGTATCATCGTGCTAATCAGTGCCTCCATGTTTTTTGACCAAAATTAATTATAAATTTCTCACCTGACTTCCTGTTTTGCTATGACAATTAATTTATTGACTTTTTAGTATATTAAAATTTGACTACAATATGTGATACATAATTTCTTCATGACATCTTAATTTTATTGACATTCCTAATTTATTTTCTGACTTTACCTGTTTTAATTTATTTGAATTGTTATCAATAATAATAATACTAATTTTAATATAATTTTTCTTTAATTAGACATAAATTAATACTGTTATTACAATTTTATATTTCTACACCGGTAACGGTAGTATGTGTGGAACTTTGTTAATTTTAAGATCTGTGTGCACCATGTACTGAGAAATAAATGACATTCATTCATTCATTCATTCATTCATTCATTAAAAAAGCCCTGGCTCACAAGGTAAAACTGAGCCTACGCTCCGAGGCATTTGGATGTGCACGCTTTGCGCCCACGCATACACGACTTCAACTTGTTTCAATCGCAGCAAATAACATCTCCAAAGGGGGCAATAAATAACCTGCAGTACGATCTACGTTTCCGTGACGCAAATCTCTAAAAAGAGAAATTCAGCAGACTCATTAGGAGAAGACGTAGCAATGATTTTGTGTGGAAAGTTAGCACGAAGGTATAGCAACCGATCATACCGTATAAGAAATAAATCCAGGGGAAAGAAGAGAAGGAAGTTCAGGTTTAAGCCAAGTTCAGAAACCAGGACGGCATTTAAACACTGTTGACAGAAAACGTGCCGTACAGTTTACTATGGTGACTTGGGACACTGAGCGTTTGAGCTTTCTTAAGACAAATGTTAAAGGCTGTGTAATTTATGAAATGGTTTGCAGAATATAACTAAGAGTGTTGGGTAATGAACTAAAGTTTTCGTCATCAGTAGCATGTGAGTTATTGGCAGAATAAAAAGAGTCCAATCCAATTAATCCAGAGTAAAATCATTCTATCTAAATCAATATAAGGCCAATCATTTCCAATAATATATAAATATATATAAATAATAAAGATAAATAAATATTTTTTTATATATACCATATTTTTTTATATATATAATATAAACTATTAAAACAATTAATTTTTAGATATAACACAAGCTAACACCATTTCGTCATTACAGGAAGAAAGAAAATCAATGATATATCAAACAACAATCACAATGCGATATGGAGAAAAAAATCAAACAGAGTAAAACAAAACAAAAAAGAAAAATGTTATTCATCACCGAGTAACACATCATATATTTAATATCTCGCAGAATTGCACCATGCAACAACCAAACGTAAAATCATTGTCGATGGTACACCCTCACATTCCTGACAATGTCAAATCAATGGCAAACCACACATTGAAATTCAAAAACTAGTTCAAACTAGGTACCGATGTTATAGAAAAGTTGCGCCGCTAAGATTATTATTGTTAAGTGGGTAAAATGTATAATCAATAAATTCAGCATACCTTAACTTGGTGAAAGAATATGTAATGGACTATGTGGGTAACATAAATTAATTTTAAATGAAGGTAAATTAAACTAATTTTCTGTGTACAATAAAGCATAAAATAAACACTAAATAAATAAATAATAATAAATCAACTAGAACCATCCGGTCAGTGGGTTGTCTTATGATGATGAGCTCCATTGACTCCACTGATACTTTGGGAGTTATTATTATGCACATTTTATGGATGAGCACAGTATCTACACTACTCCTAAACAATCATGTCGGTTAGTTTTGGTTTTTGGTTCGATTTGGAGATCATCAGTCACTCACGGCCCTTGAATATTTGGCCAGAAGTGGGTCCGAATCGTTCCGTTCCGTTCTGGATCTAACACTATTCGATTCCGAAATCAAGACGCGCCCTGCCAAAGACTACTTGCCGGGTTTTAGTCAAAAACTCTTTGACCGAGATGGAGGAGCCCTTCAGACCCTTTTTGGCCCCCCATACCAGTGGCTTGTCTTGAAGAGCCCAGTCTATGACAGGCCTTAAACGATGTGGGCGCAATATTGTGTAGTGGCAATTTGGTCTTCAGTATGTCCACAACTACTGTGCGGTAGTCTTCACTGTCCCATCTTCTTGACTCCATGGAACAGAGGAGCCTTCCTCCGCACCAGGTTTCAGCATCGTCAACCTGTTCGATGCAGTTTGCAATTAGTTGATGGAGCATGCCAAGCAAGCTGATAACCAACTTTTTGAAGCTTCAAGTCTTTGGCGATTCTAGTATCCTTAGCCGGTCCAGCAGCCTGAATCTGTGCCTCTAGGTCATTAAACTTCATCTGAATTCTCTCTTCCATACTCTTGTGTATCTTCACAACTTTAGTGAACTTTCCCATGAATAGTAATATAATACTTGTGCAGGTGGTAACGCATATAAATATTGTAATGATTTCTTGAATTTTGAAAAAAAATCCGTTTGGATTAATTAAAAAAATCCACTAACAAAAGGCACATCTGATATGTATTAGCACCTACCCTCGAATCATTAATCATTGGATGTCAATCAATATATCATTGGATTTTCAAACCATAAACAATATTTTAGAATAAGAAACTCCTTCGACATAGACTAAACTACAAGATTTATACTTATATAAATGAGGTTGGCTGGTAGAAGGCAGGATAAAGTAAAAGAGGAAGAAGAGAATTGATTGGAGAATTAATATTACCTATTATTAAAAGCAAATTACAAAAATACAAACAAATTTATTTTGTCAAATACCTAACTAATATTAAAAACATTATAAAAACTATCAACCTTGAATGTGTTATCGTAGGTCATGTCAGTAAGGTGTACCTTTTACTTGATGATGGGGTGAAACCAATAACCAGCTTTGCTAGACTTGTTCATTAAATGGACTATCCAACAAAAAAAGAATTATTCAGTTAAAACTAATATCTGAGCCATTTTTTAAATTATGGTACATTTTTAATAACAAGAAAAATAAACAATACATTTTTATTTTGTATCAAAAAATGTTTTGTTGGTTATAGACAATGTGTGTGTGGCATTTAAAAGGTTAATTATTGGCATAAATAAATCACAGAAGTGTAGATACAAAGTATCTTTATTAGAACTTAAAGTATTGGAAATCTTAATCTAAGCCTTATTTTATAATCGTAAAGAGTTTTTCATTCTTTCATTTCTCCTTCTTCATCTTCCTCCTCAGCGCCTCTTACATATAGCACATTATTGCAACGTATTAAAACCTCTCCAAGGTTTCCTGAAATTAAAAAATATACTTTATAATATTTATAATTTTCTTTTTGTCATTTGTCTTTCTTAATCTATTGTTTCTGCATAACCCAATGGGATATGCATAATGGAGATGTTACACATTATTTTGACACTGGCTGGGTGAAAACTATTGTGCACTAAGTGCTAAGCGCTAGCGACATTAGGATTAGGATTGTAAACACACCCATGGAAGAAAATGATAAGGTAGGACAAGTTTTAAAAGTATAATGAGATTTAACTAACCATTTGCTTTATAAACTGTTCTAAACACTGTTAATAAACACATAACTATATTTATAATGTACAACAACATTCATGGGACCTTGTTAGAGTTAGAAGTCGTACATTTGGGGCGACTGAGTACAAATAATCGGATTGTAATCACTACAAACAAACTGACCTGTACACGAGCCATCTACGATTTCTTCGGTGTTTGCTAGTTGTAGGTTCATGTATCCATCAGCGGATACAAGTAATCCTTTATATTCGTGGCCCCATTTCAGTTTAACTAGCACCGACTTGCCTGTTAAACTGTTGAGGAATGGTTTAGGGTTTATTGGCATTGCCGCCGCCATTTTTATAGTATTATCTGTAAACAAGTAATGCACACTTAATGTTATAATGTAAAATATAAACTGAAGACAACAATACCGCTAGAAATAAATACCTTTTGTTTCACTAAACACAAAATATAACCTAAAATGCTAACAAGCCAACCCGGAGCCGCTAACGCCAAGCTGAAAGAATGACAGTATGAAAACATAGACAAACAGATGGAAAGACCACAGCTACTTACACGCCATCAAGAGAGAACCGTTTTGTCTATAGAATCATTCTAATCCTAAAACAGCATCATTGTCATTTGTCATTTCTGTCGTCTGTCATATTAGTAAAAATGTCAACGTCAAGTAAACAAAATACGTCGACCGAGTATCGTGTCTGTCGTCGTCACGAACTTATGGTTTTTTTTTAAGAATTACGGGTTTGATTTAATCAATTACTTGGTTAAGTTTTAATTGTATACTGAACTACAAAAAAGGAGAAGAATTAAAGAAAAAACTTGATATTTTTGTGCAATGTCGACTTTCTCGGGTTTCAGTGAAGAAGAGTTGAAAAGAATAAAATCCGGCGAAACTGGCTCGAACAGCGGTAAGTACACATATCCTATCCGTAACTAATTTTATCATATTGTTTATACCATAACTTAAACTAGTTCATGGCCATTATAACAAAGAGAAAGACTAAATTAGTTATACTGCGAATTGAGACTGGCTCTCCACAATTTAACACAATAAAATTAAATTAGCTTATAAGAGTCAAAAGCACCGGGAAGGGTTAACCATTTTATATATGATAGATTATTATTTTAGTAAAAAAGTTATTTCTAATGGGTATTTGTTGTGTTATGATTCTACGCTGACACTTAATATCTTGATGATCTCATCCGATGTAATAGTTATAGTCATAAAAAATTCAGCCATAAATATGTTCTATTCCACACGGAAGTCAAGGTTTTACTAAAAAAGTTTTATCAAAAGAGAATGTGACATGTGATCCATGCACGGCTATGCTGCCAGTTTTCTGCACTTAGTGAAATAATTCAATATGAATCATAGATGAATCTGATTAGAAATTATCAAGGTTGTATATTGAATTATTGATATAATCTTTTAATTATAGTATGCAATAAATGGGTAATATGATTTATTTTTCTGTAAATTTAAGTACACACTAATTAAAAATTAGATACAGAAAAATATCAGTAATACATAATAGTATAAGTATTTAAAAAAATATTACTAATCTATTTTTATTTGAATGAGCTAATCTTCAAAACTGTTTCGAATAGAATATTTCATTTTGTACTAGATAGTCAAGGCTGGGCAAGCGGTCTTGGGTTCGATTCCCAGGTCAGGCAAAGGATTACTGGTGTTTTTTTAATTCTCAGTAGTAACACGAAGTCCAGAATCGTGCCCGGTATATTGCAATAGTCTTACCCTGTGTTACACAGTACTCATAACATATATAGTGAAAACTGGGTGTTACATTATAAGTGGCAATAAGTGCTGTAATGTGAACCTCTGCCTACCCCTTCAGGGATAAAAGGCGTGATGATATTGTTTATTTTTTACAATATAAAACAAGTACTCACCACCGAAAGAATGCGATGTAATAAATTAGTATGCAATTCTATGTTACAGGAGTTAAATTAATGTATTCCTACCATTTATAACAAAATCGCTTTGTGCTTTACTAATACTGCAATAATTGTGTCACAGGTCGACAAATCAACATATCAAATGTTAGAAAAGTGGACAAAATTGGTGCTAGACCAAAGAGACCCATTAACGAATTCAAACACTCAAAACCCATCCTAAAAAGCCTGAGCTCCGATGATGCTATAGACAATATACAGTTTGACAAATGTAAACTTAGCTTAAGATCGCCGACAACACCAAACAATGATACAACAATAGAAACATTAAATAAAAATAATAAAGAAAATGTTGACAATAATGATAATGTTAAAACAGAGACTAATAAAGAAACTAGCGTAGAATCCAATGTTAACAACTATGATAAAATTACCAAAATGGCTACTGACAATGCTGAAGTAATAAGTGATAGAAAGCAAAGTATAGATGCACCACCGGATATTGTGCGAGGAGTTGAAAATTATTCCGAAGATGAACTGGAGAACCATAAGATGAAGTTACATGAACTGCAGTTGAGACAGAAGTTAATGGAAGAACAGAATAAGAAGAGGAAAGAGATGCTAGCTAAGGCTCTAGCTGATAGGTATGTATTTTCTATTCTAATATTTTTTCCAGGTTCGGTTTCCAGGTCGAACGAACGTTTTAGACATTTGTGATTTCCCTCGTTTAGTATGATATTCTCCTGTATCATTGGTGCTTGTACAACACACAACATCTAATTTTTAACCAAATGTGGGCAGTGACCAGCAGCAGGTCAATGTACTAAAAATCGCGGGTTACTCACGTGAATATACTGAGAAAAGCTGTACTAGTTTCGAGCCTCAGAGGGGCTCTTCCTCATGAGCAGCATCGGCGCTGTTGGGCACCGTACTGGCTAGCGACAGCGCTTGCATTGGTATCATGGAAGAAATCCTCTGTAAAGCTCTACAGATTTTTTCAGTATCCCCCGTGAGTAACCCGCGATTTTTAATTAATTTAGTACATCTCACGATAGTTATTATAAAATTATTGGACAGGTTCACCGGCTGGCGTTTGCATGGCAAGCATTCGAATACGCCTACTCGATCTGGGAATTATTAACGGCGATGATGTTATACGCAAAATATTTCTTCACATGTTTGGTGTATTGTGCGAGTGAAAACAAATATTTTTAGGCCTCACAATAGAATAGGCTTCGTCTGGTTATTCTCACAGCATAAATAAATACAATGAAACCGAGTCAACGCTTTTTTGTTGCTGGTTTAACTTGTATTAGTTTATAATAGCAAATGTGTTATTAAAGTTTAACATTGCCTCATTGATAGTCAGCCAATGGGTCTCCCATTGGATTACTGGATAGAACATTCTTTTAGGGTTTCCTGTTTTCGAAATTCTCGGTATTAATAGTAATAACGAAAAGATGGATTACAATGGATGGCAATAGACTTGCGCTTTAACTCGTCGAGTGCCGGTTTTGTAGACACAATTATAGAACAATAGGTTGCGGTCACCGGTGACCGCTTGGTGTTTGACAGTTTAATACGTAGGGCCAGTTGCGTAACTATAGGGGGTTAGTTGTGGGCTCGCTGCCATTGCAGCGGTAAGTCCCCTCTTTGAGGAGTGGCTTGAGAGACGCTACGGCGTCCTCACCTACCGCCTGACGCAGGTCCTCACCGGACATGGAAGTTTCGGGAGGTACCTGTGTCTGATGGGGCGGGAGGAAACGCCCGGGTGTCATCACTGCGAGGACCGCCCTGAGGACACGGTGGAACACACAGTGGGAGAATGCCCTGCGTGGGCTGAGCACCGCCGTGCCCTCAGGGAAGTGATCGGCGATGGCGACCTCTCGCGTCCGGGCCTAGTGCGGGCCATGATGCGGAGCGAGGGGGATTGGGATGCCGTCTCCTCCTTTTGCGAAGCAGTCATGCTAGCTAAGGAGGAGGCGGGACGCGTGAGGCAGCGAAGCGCTGCCTCCTCGCAACCCAGCCATCGCGAAGGACACACCGGGCGTCGGGGATCGCGAGACGATCTCCGGCCACTGTAAGCGCGGGCCTGCGGACGGCGAGCATGGGTGGCTCCCCGTCCGACCAGAAACAGACCCGAGCGTACGGCGCGTCGCGTTCTGCGCGCGCCTCAAAGAGCCATCAGACCACCACAGATGGGGCCCAATAGGGCCGATGCCGATTCGGAGTCGCGGAGAACCTAACGGGTAACCGGGGCTCCGGCTCGACGTGCAGGAGAAGGAACGGGGTGGTTTTTAGTCAATAAGAGTCTGACACTCCCTTCCGCCTCACCCAGGCGGGAGCAGTCATTCGATGATTTTCCCCCCTTAAAAAAAAAGGGGGTTAGTTGGCACAATGCTATGAGCCCCCGACTGGAAGTGGCTCCGTTTATCTATTAAACTTCTCTCTTTTTTGTATTGGGAAGGAAGGGCCACCAGATGAATTTGTCACGAGCCTCAAACGGTGTAGTTACGCCACTGCATAGAACTCTAATTAGGCACTTACTTCCAAATTATCGAAAAGGGTTTATTTAAAATACGTTCTAATAAATCCATAGTAAATCCAAATAATAATAGAATAAACTCGCAGTTTCAGCCTTCAGTATATCTTTTTATCAATAACCCTATTATCATTTCAAGTGGCGTTCAGTTTTATCTCCAGCAACCGACAATGATTCAGTGTGCACTATTCAGTTCAAATGTCCTGTACTGACATTTATCTGTGTCCTACAAATAAATTCATATACAAAAATGGTTAATTTAAACAAATTTTACAATTTGGTCACTAAAACTATATGGTTTGTATTTTGTGCTATTTACGGTATTTAGGGAGTGGTTTTTCTGTGTAGTGAGTTATTTTTGTATAAATAACATGTGATGTTTTATTCAAAATTGTGGTTGATATAATGGTGCAAATTGGTTAGATATTTTATATTTTAAGTTACAGGGCATATGGAGGATACCACATTTAGTACAATTTGATATTTATTGCTAAAGGGTCTCGCCTGATCTGGTTATACTTTGTGGAATACCTAATTGTCTACGCCTCCCTGTCTTCCGCTTGGCAAAGAGCAACAGATTTTTTTATGGGATAATCCAGTATACGAGCTGGCGGATCATCTGATGGAAAGCAATCGCCGCCCATGTACACCTGAAGCACCAGATGCGTTACAAGTGCGTTACCGGCCTTTTGGGCAATAGGAATTTGAAGATTTTTGGGGATAATGGGTAATTGAACCTCCGATAACCTCATTCACACGACGTAAGCGCTATTTCACGTCTGTTTTCTGTGAGTCCGTGGTATCACTCCAGTCGAGCTGGCCCATTCGTGCCTAAACATGGCTTTCCAACACGTCGCCTCTATTATTATTGTTCCGGAATTTGTGATTGACACAATAATTGTTCCATATACAGCCAGTTGTCCAACCACTGCGCCAACCATGCAGGCATCTCTCTCACGGTGTCACACCATCGATTAGTTAGGACTTAGGAGATTAGTGTTTAGGGGTTATGGGATTTGCAAATTCATTAAGTAATTTGACTCCAAGGCAAACAAAATTGATCCGTATTCCTAAAGTAAAAAATTAAATTTCAGTTGTATTAACACCATTTCACTTTGAAGACAAGGTTCCTAAAATGCTGCATTTTATTTTTAACAGGACAAAACAAACTACAGAAGAGGTGATGAGACTGGAGAAGATTAAGAAGGAGCTACAAGTACTAGACAGTCAGTTCTCACAAGACGTTTCTGTACTGAGACAGAAGATCGACCAGGCTTGTTTGAGCTATGCTGACGCAGAGTAAGTTTATGTATATCTTCAAGAATAGCATAGCATAGTAATTGAACCCCTTATTAATTAGGGGCCAAAGATAAATGCAAATTTACATTATGAGTTACTTTTAATAGGAACAAGGTACTACTTTTAGTTACATTTCTCTCTGTATAAGAATGTTTCGAATCTATAATTTTTTTTAGCTCTGGTAGATACCAGATCTGGTAAAGACTGGAAGATTCCAGTCTCAACTTCCTTTATAAATTGGGACTCTCATATCTCATATCAAGAAAAACAACTATTTTGTCAACTACATTTCAGCTTTGCACACTCATAACTGATTCAGAAACATCACTTTACAGAAAACACTACTTGAAAGTAGAGAAAGAGTTCCTGCAAGCGAAGATACACCTACAAAAGGAGAAGGAGAAAAAAGAGCTACTAACAGAACACTTATGTGCTCTAATCACACACAACGAGACAAGAAAAGCTCAGAAACTAGAAACTTTAATGTTAGAATTAGCCACAGATAAGGAAAAAGTAGAAAAATTGGATAAGGTAGAAGTGAATGAAGTTAAAACAGTTGATGAACCGATTATAGTGGATGGTGTTGATGAACGAACTGGTAAGATTGTTGAACTTACACCTAGTAGTTAGTTTATTGAAGATTGTTTATTGAAATTAGTGATTTGTGATGGTAAACAAAGGACTTGGATTGATTTACTGTCATGGTTAAATCAATAGTATTGTAGGAAAGTGAAAATACCTACAAATTAAAATTTACTTGGAACATGCAAAAAATACTAAATTACAGAGGCTAAAATTGAGATATTGAAAAAAAATTCCTTATTTTAAAATTATAACATAACATCACGCCTTTTATTCCCGAATGGGTAGGCAGAGGTGCACATTATGCTGCTGTACAATGTAACACCCACTTTTTAAAATTATAACAGTATTATATACACAACAACTTGTTTACCATTATAAAAAAAAAATTGCTAATAGTATTTTAATACTGGTGCATTTAAATTTTAAGATTTCCTCATAGACTGTATTGCTGTCTTTATTATATATTTTACTTGTCATAATAATATAATAATACTGAAAGTATGATAAAGTGATTATTTCAAATAGTTGCAGCTTATAGGCAACGAATTTCTACATTTGGACAACTTAAGATATAGTTTTAAGTAATTTTAATTACCTATTATGTGCCTTGTTTTTATGTACCTTATGTGTATGAACTGTATTTTGTGAAATAGCTATTTATATTAGATTTCCTATTTACTTTTCAATGTGCTAATATTGACATTTAAAACATATGAAAAGAAATTCAGATTATTCTAATATATACCTATGTTCCTGTTTATTTTATAAATAATAAAAAACAACTTGTAAATAGCTCGACAAATTCTTAAAATACAGCTCATGCGTAATTTAGCAATAATTTAAAAGTAAGAACGTATCAAATTATTCTATTTTTTTAGTCGTGTAGAACATGACAGAAATAATTAAAAACTATTCTAATAAGATTGGATACAAGTATTTTCAGCCAGTTTACTAAAACCAAAAATGTAACTATTTTAATATTTTTATATCTGATATAGATAGAAGATATATATTTTTGTATATTGTTACTAACTACAGGTAGTTTATTAACATTGTAAGTTAAATATATTAATTTAATTAAAACAAATGATAATGAATAACATGACTTCAAGTTTTTTATTCCGTAACGGGCAAAGAGGAACATTTAAATGATTTTACGCTGTTTTATTCGTTAATGTCTTATTAAATAGCTGAGAAGCAGCTTATTATTATATACCGTGGCTGGCAGTTCAAGCTATTCCAACCTGTATTTAATATTGAGTTTTCGACTTTATATCAAAATTATAAAGTTAGAAATCAAATTACAGAAAGGAGTAGGGATAGATTGACCTGCGTGGCATTGTACATTAGGAAACATTTCAGAATCCGTGTATTTATTGAGATAATAGGCATGATGCCAAATTAAAAAAAAACTGGGTTTTTAGGTTTATAAATAAATATTATATACAATGTACATCAAAGTTTTGATTAAAATAAGAAATAAATATTAACTGTAAGTATGTATATATTTTTCATTGCCGCCAAAACGCTTCAATCTGTCGATGGCGTCGCTTGTGACGTCATGTTCGATGTAAGTTACATTGACGGCTACATAAAGCATTCGTTTGGCATTGCTTGTGTTTTGTTATAAAATACGGGTTTGAGAGTTTGAGACAGTGTAGTTGTTGTGCAGTGCCTCTGAGCGTTGGGTCGTTGAAGGTTTTCCGTCAACGAAACGTTAACGTTGAATTGTGTTTGTCAACTAGTTGATCAACTAGTTAATTTCGTCAACGAGTTAACGTGTTAGTGAACTCAACTTGCATAAACAATGTTAGTTTACGAACAATATGTATGATGCAGTTTACCTAATGTGATTTTATGATTTTTTTAACAATTAACTCGTCGAGTACCGGTTTTGTAGACACAATTATAGAACAATAGGTTGCGGTCACCGGTGACCGCTTGGTGTTTGACAGTTTAAATGCCATCGTTCTTTCTTTATAAACAACAACATATTATGTAGATCAAATTACTAAATAATTATAAAATCTTGTATTAGTTATTTAGTTAGAGAACTCAAATTTTTGGCATGACTATCGCGTTGTAGCGAGAGTTTTATTCTTAAAGATTTACGTTTATTCTTAAAAATTTACGTACCTACTTCGAAAATAAATAAACGTCGACCGTGTACAAATCAATTCGTTGAATTCGTCAAACGATGAAATGAAACGACGAGTTGAATTCATAAACGTTGTTGTCTCGCTACTCGGTAACACGTTGGCGAATTCAACGAATTGATTTGTACACGGTCAACGTTAACGAGACGTCAACGTTGATTCAACTAGTTCGTTGATTCAACGGCCATCACTAGTTCGCTACTCTGTGTGCACTGTGCAGTAAGTACAACTAAAGCCCGGACAAGTTATTTAAATTCGTTCCAAAACGATACGAATTAAAAAACTTGCAAGACTTCTGTGAAGATCACTTTGACGTAAGTATTCACTTATATTTGTAAATTCTACATAGTATCCAAATCATCCCAAGCGTACGGCGCGTCGCGTTCCGCGCGCGCCTCAAAGAGCCACCACGAGTGGGACGGTCAGAGTGTAGCAAAGGGTGTGCAAGGGATTTGGGACTTAAAAAATTTTTCAAAAAAATTAAAATTCTAAAAAATGCCTAGTTTTCTTTTTCCATCGCTTAGTAAACCTAAAAATAAAGCGAAAGTCATCTGAGCACTTTTTGTCTAGGACTTCACGTTCGCCTGCAAATGAGCTCTGAAAGTCGCTTGGTGAAAACACTTTTTCAATCAATTGTCGCCGTCGCAATTAAAATCTTTTTTCGTGCACCCGGTACGAGTAATCTGCCGCCTGCGACCGACGACGCCATTAATGTAGCCGTCATTTTTACAGCACCTCCACCCCCACGGTATTCGGCCTCCACAAATTTCCCTCTCGAGTCTCTGACCCCTCATGCTACCCCCCTATGCTACAAGTCCGGCGCCCCTCGCACACCTCGTAGGTTACCACACCACCTATCCATTATATTATCCCGCTTTTATCGGAGAACGGCTGACGATAGACGAAAACTGATCATAGCGAAAAGTGTTTGTTTTTCATCCCTCTACACGATAGAAATCAAAACGAAGGAATATTGTGTAAAAAAAATTTTCAAGTGTTTTCACCAAGCGACTTTCAGAGCTCATTTGCAGCGAACGTGAAGTCCTAGACAAAAAGTGCTCAGATGACTTTCGCTTTATTTTTAGGTGTACTAAGCGATGGAAAAAGAAAACTAGGCATTTTTAAGAATTTTAATTTTTTTTTGAAAAATTTTCTAATTCCCAAATCCCTTGCACACCCTTTGCTACACTCTGACCCTTAACTCAGTCTTACCCCATATTCTTAGTTGTTTCCTCAAGATAGTCATTCATAAAAAATACAAGTAAGTCAAGTAGAATTACTGAGAATAAGTCAAGTAGAAAATTTCTTCAGGACAAGACTTGGATTATGGAGGATTAATTATTACATCTTATAAGTATTTACTATATCTTATTGGTTCTTCATGAATGTCAAATTAATATAAAAAGCTTTTTTACACATAAACCTGATCAAAATATGCCATTGTTGCTATGTTGTAAGTTTTTAAAAATACTTCTATTTTTTCAGTGTTGCAAGAAAATGTTCTACAAAATGAAGAATCCCATCTGAGCGTTTTTCTGGCTGCATCCACAGAAGCCCCTCTCTGGACTCTAGGATCCAATGCAATGACTACACAAGATGCACTTATGACAGCAAATAAATGCATTCAAGTACACATGACAAGAAATTCAGAAGTAAATCAGTGCAAACAAAAATTTATGTATTAAATCAAGTTACATCAGCATTGAAACCTTTCAGTCATTCAGTTTGTACATCACCATTTAAAATAACGACTTGTAGTACTATCAAGCCATCACCATCCACCTCATCTAAGGAAAGGAAATTATTTGTTACTCAGGAAGAATATGACAGTGATATTTCAAATACACCATCATTGAGGCAAAAACAGTCATCACTATCAATAACATCCCTCCAAATAAAACGTAGTTCGGACAGCAGCGACTTAATTAAATAGGATAAAATACAGGCATCGAAGACATTGGAATACACATTGCTGAAAATAGTGAATAGTCAACGTTTTTACACTAAATTACCTAAAAGCTGTTATTACCTGATAGAATTAATTGAAGAAAAAATAAATATTCCCAAGACTATATACTTATGTGTTTGAAGAAAATTAGATTAAATAATCCTTTTAGATATTTAATAAAGCTTTTTTATGGAATAGGAGGCAAACGAGCTGACGGTTCAGCTGATGGTAAACGATCAGCGCCGCCCATGGACACCCGCAACACCAGAGGAGCCACAGGTGCGTTGCCGGCCTTTTAAAAAGGAGTACGCTCTTTTCTTGAAGGTTTGAAGGTCGTATCGGTTCGGAAATACCGCCGACGACAGATCATTCCACAGTTTTGCTGTGTGAGGCAGGAAGCTACGTGAGAAGCACACAGTTGTGGCCTGCCAACCATCTATATGATGGGGATGCATGCATATGCATCCCCATCAAACCCAACGACCCAAAAAGCCGGTAACGCACTTGTAACGCCTCTGGTGTTCCAGGTGTCCATGGGCGACGCCGATTGCTTACCATCAAGTGATCCGTCTGCTCGTTTATCGGCTTATGCCATAAAAAAAAAGTATAAACTATGATCGTAATCTAAAGAGTCCAGAACAAGAGGCGACGACTAGTGAAGTAACCACATAAATACTGATAAATAAGAAATAAAGATTACAGATATACCAACATGAAATGATTAGTAAAATAATTAATAATTAATCTGTAATAGTTAACTAATTTACTCATTCAACGCGCCGAACATGACCGATAACACCGCGGAAACTCCCGAATGCACATTCGGTTTCGGTCGTAGTTTCGGCAAGTTTGCTGCCGAAAACGAAACTAAACCGAAAACGAAACCGAAACCGAACATTCGGTCGGACACTACAGAGATGCATAACCTGAGAGGTATATATAGAGTTATTATAAGAGATTTTGTTTGATAGTCAGCAGTTATATTAATTCTCTCAAATCATACTATACATACATATAAAAACCGCTATTATAATTGGGAAAAATGTATGAGTTTGTGTGTTTATGAGTGTACATGTTTGTGTACATTTTTGTTACTCAGCCACATCAAAACGGCTGGAGGGACCGGGATAATTTCAAACAGGGGTAGATTACGGTCTCGAGTGATACATAGGCTACTTTTACCCCTGGGAACGCAGGCGAAGCCGTTGGCAGAAGTTAGTTTATTAATAAAACAAGTAATTCCCCAATAACTATTTAGTTTATATTTTCTTATGTTTACAGTAGAACATATAAATCTATATATCAGTGTTTGTACTCCATGCATAGTCAAATTCGAAGTATGGTCACAATACTCTTTGCATGCATTCCTCTATTTGTGCACTACCTAAATGCCATGAAGTTGAAACGTTAGATATTCCGTCGACAATGAATTTTAAATGTTGATTTCTTAAACATATCACATTTTCTCAGGAATCCTCATTCAGTATTGTGATTTAAAAAAATATATTGATAGCACTCACTAGGGCGTTATCGCGAGTGCATTTTCAAATTAATCACGCACACAGCCATACTATTTGAAATCTTTGCAATAGCGTAAACTTCTATTGACTTGAATGAAGATCTAAATCCCCTATCCTAAGTCCAGCTATGGACGGAAACTATGTGATGATGATCTTCCTAACGTTAATTATCTGCAGCTCTATCAAATGAGGAAGGCAACCAATGACCTAATGCCAGACTTCATATTACTCGTATAAATTGCTGTTCAAATAACTGTTCAATTATTTGTAGCCACATTTATAAGCGCCCAGTTTACGCCTTTAATGTCTGATTTCTTCCCCTTATAACTAAAATATAATTTCTTTATTTATTCATTAAAAATAGGCCTATGGACACTGACTTCAATGATGTACAAATCTAGTATACTGACTCGAAACCGCTTTAATTCTTCTAAGTAAATACTGTTCGTTCCATTTTATAGAAGAATGTTCACCGTCTCTTGGTGAAGAACATTCTTCTGCCTGTATGCTATCCCCAGTTCCAATAAGAATACTTCTTTCCATTTTCTTTCAAAATTGCTTTAATATTCGTGTCAGCATTTTGTAACTCTTGACGATTCTCTCTTTCCATTTTGATGAGTTCCAAACCGCGTTTTGCTGCGCAGTGGTATCGTTGACTTAGAGAGGCTTCAGATCCCTTAATTCGTGGAATGTGGCCCGTGTAACCCGCTATTGGTGGGAATTCCGGCGATATCGTGTTTTCTGTAAAATAAAACACTAGATTAAAGTTGGCCCCATGTTACTTCCTTGAAGAAAACCATTTTACGGCAATAGTTTATTTTAATATGGAGTCTAAAGACTGTCACTTTTGTTTATCAAACGATTTTCATTTATTTTTTAATTTCGTAAAAGCCCACTAAAAGCTTAATGTATAAACATATTTGTAGTGAAATCCTGATACTTTCCACAGTCAAAAGCTTAACCCAGTTCACAAAACATACCTTTATATTTATTAATCTCTCTAAATCTGTTCAAGTCTCTTCGGATTTCATCTCTGGAATGAACTGTTTCCATCTTGGGCGCGCTTCTTGAGCGAACATAGCTTCTATTGAAGTCTGCTTTACGTCTTAATTCCCTTTGCCTCTCTGTAAAGTTCGCCATGCAGTCATCTGCTGTCCGTCCATATGATTTCCCGTAACTGAAATTCATAATAAACATTTTTTTATTTGTTTATCTTGCTTAAATCTTAGTTTAAATTACTTGTTATCATTTATTAGCGCTAATTCCATTATACCAATCGTGATTGACTTTAAAATGTGTCTTATATTATTTCGATAAGATAGAGTATTGGTATTTATAATGTGTAAAAGAAAACAATTAGATTTCTGATTAAAATTGATTTGTCGTCGCGTATTTGTCCGTATGGATTGAGGAGCCACTTTCGATTTAAAAAGGAAGCTCGCCCCCTTATTTAGTAGGGAAGTAAATAATTTTGTAGACCGAATTCTGAAATTTGTAGTATAATATGTCTAAAGTTATGTAACTGAGAATGTGGCTCCTCATCCAAACATCTGAATTGAGGAGCCACCTGAAACACGGAAAGTATTTCATGTATATTTTTGAAAATTTTGTATCATTTAGTAGCAATTGTGTATAGTGTCTACTAAAAATTTGAGCCCAGTATTGTTTATATTCAAGAATATACAATACTTTTAATGTGGCTCCTCGATCTATACACAAGAGCATGAATTGCCATGAAAGTTATTGGTCAATTTATATTCCACTCTAAAGACATTTAGTAGTAAGTGTGTTCGAATTTGTAGTATATGGACAAAGTAGTAGACTGAGCGAATTTAATAAATAAATGCATTTCATTTGGCTCCTCAATCGTGACGTCTGCATAATAAATAATTGACTGTACCTACCTGAGATCAAAACGGAATAAAATACCAGAGACACTAACATTTAGTATAAACGGTCTACTAAATACATATGCACAGATCAACATTGTATATGTTCGGTATCTGAAAAACAAATCACTTCTGAATATTCCTTACGAATTCGCTATTTAGGGTGACCATGTTATATGAATTAAACTAGGATGATTCATTTTTGAAATTTAATTTTTCGACAATATTCGGTACAAAGATT